CCCCCCAAAAAAAAAAAACCAAAAAAAAAAAACGCCACTGAACCCTACCCAGGATTTTGTTTTTATTCCGTGCCGTTGACCGAATCTTCGTGGCCCCCTTGGTTGGGATTCCTCCGTCGGACGTGTAGGACCACTTGTCGGAAAATTTATGGCGCCATCGCTGACTAATAAGGTGTAAAAAATAACTATATGACTAGACTATGAATCACTCACAGGGACGGCCAAGAAGGTTAAACACATTGAAATGAAACTAATGAAGTAGTAAAAAATAATTAAATAGTTTTTGACATTTCACTTTTACAGCTGTGGCAGCACACACAAAAGTGGCGCAATCATTCTTGAAATAATGAAGGAGACTGAAAACAACAACTTAAGCTAGACATATATGATATAAAAACTTAACTAAAACAAAAAAAAGTTTTGATTTGGATATATATATACATAAATCATCAAAGAAATGTAAATACAGTGTTCGAATAAAGGACATAATAATACATGGTGTAGCATAGCTCTCAACGAATGTAGTCCTGTAAATAAATGAATAAAGAAATTGTGTAATAAAATGCCTCTGGTGGGAATCGAACCTCGAGCGTCATAACCATTAGACCACTAAAGCTTCATAGCTAAACAGATTCAAATGCCACTAAATACATTCCATTACACAATAAGTACGGCTAGAAACAAATAATTGCATACTGAAATATATATTAAGATAGCCGTTAACACTGTTAAATTATATACATAAATCAAAGTATTATTAATTCTTATTTATAGCATTATTCGAGCACCTTCATTATTATTATTATTATTATTATTATTATTATTATTGTTGTTGTTGTTTATTGATTTTATTTTGTTTTTATGCCTAGGCCTATATAATTGCATATATTTAACAATTTAATTAGAAATAAATATAATTATTAATTGTAAAACAAATAGCCCTATAATATAATGTTAACAATAATATAGGCTAAGCTTGACCTAATCAATTATTGGTATAATAAAGCCAAACATTTAAAACATCATTAATACAACACCTTCATGACAGAATAGCCCTCTAAATATTGTTTTAATAACTAATTTAATTCACTTCAATGCTATATTTTGCGGCAGTTCCAAATCGGCATTGCGGCAGTGCCGATAGCCACTACCCCCCGTCAACAGTGCAAGCTGGGCTAGCTAAGCATGCCGGCCGAGAATAGTCAGCGTGTGGTTCGAACCCTAGACAACGAGGTTCACAACCATAATTGAAATCGCTGCGCCAAACCACCTTCAGTGTATGTTCATTGTCAAGGCACCTTCAGAAATTTTGGTCATCTTATCTTTCCCAATCATCCGTTTTGGAGCAACATCATAACGTTAACGACAATGATGTCCAGTGAAACAAAATATCTGGTCCTGAACTTATGATACTTTATTCAACTGAAATATGAATATATTTAATATATGGTTGCATTGTTTGTGATTTTATAAACTCTATAGATCAATTGATCTTAGCAATTTCTCTATTTTTTTGTAGAATTATGGATACACATGTTGGATAGGGTCATGGTCGTTGTTTAGTCTCACACTTTAATAGTAGGAGTACATGCTGTGACAGAACGTGTAGTGTGAAAATACACTTGGAAAACATTTGAGCACCTTTTAATTCCAGAATTGAGTATGAAAAACTCACTTCAAAATACTACAATAGGTCTACATCTGATATAATGAAATCACTAAGCAGAAAATGCAGGACGGGTACGCTTTTATATTAAGTGAATAACTTGACGTAGTATCATGAATCACAAACTGTATCAATCTCATTGATCGCAACATATTTTAGTAATTTTTATTTTGGCCTAATAAATTGTATAAATTTATTAGAAAAGCTTTTTTTACACTAAAAAATTGCAGCACTGGATAGTCGCTTCTCAATCGAGATACAGATAGTTTTTGTGTATTCTGCCAAAAAAAAAATCTATAAACAATTCACATGAGATCACCGTTCCATTTTTTTGCCTCTTACAATACCCAGGAGACAACATTTTTTACCAGGTATTCAAAGTAAAGGGGGCCCGGGAGGGGATTTTAGAGATGGATTGTTAGATAACCGCAACCCTGTGATTGGGGCTGAGGTTTGAAATATGTCTATAACATCTCAAGGTGGCCGGAACTGGCACTTTTAAACTCAAAGTTTAATACAATTTTCGGTTTCTTTATTT